TCCTTTTCTCTTGCTCTCTCAGCACAAGTGCACATAGTTCACACTATGCCTTAAACTCAGTTTCATTTGGCTGGTCCCACAAGCACAGAATCCTGTACAGCTGACTTTGTAAGCATCATCATGTCTTGCTCCCAGCTGGGGCAAACATCTCCTACAGAGTACAACATCTGGGCAGGGACCCTTCACTTGCTTTCTTCACCACCAGTGCCAGGAAATCGGTACCTCAGATGAGGGTGACTGTCTTGGGAGAATCTTACACCAGTTCTTGAAGGCAAGTTACCCGAATCCCTTACAATGATCCCAACTTTGTCCTCTGGAGCAATGAGGAATGTCCTTTGGTCATGAAGGATACTTTAAATCCAGTTGCATTCAGACAACTTTCTTAAGTATGCCGCTTGAGGATGTGTGATGAGCTAACAGAATTTTTTGAAAATGCTTTCAGCTTGGGTAACATTACACTGAAGGCTGGTCTGAGTTTGTAAACTGAAAAATTTATGGTGTGGCCCAGACTGCCCATGCATGGATCCAGGAGCCTGACCTCTCTCCATAAAGTTTCCCTCCACTCAATATTCCATGGCGGTTGTTAAGAGTCTGGGTCTGGGGTCAGACTTAATCCTTTCCTTGCCCTCCAGTAACTATGTGGATTTGTATTTGTCTCTCTTATAGTAAGGGGATTAAGTGAGATAATGTATGTAAATGCTGAGTACAATCCATCCTGCATATTTAGAACACATCATTGGGGTTGCCTGGTCTTAGCACTGCGCACTACTACCTTCTTACCTCAATTGCTGTTTCTACCATTGGACTGACTGCCCAATGGCCAAATCCATGATGAAAGTATGACGTGGTGGCTTTCTTGGGAGGGAAATGGAAACGTAGGAGGCAGGGCCCTGTTGGAGGGAGTGGGTGTGGGGTCGGGACTTGAGGGATCACCCCTTGCTTTCTGGCTCTTTCCTTGTCCCTCTGCTATGAGGTAGGCAGTTGTCCCCCATAGGCCTGCTGCCAAGAAGTTTCTGCATTGCCACAGGCCCGAAGCCATGGAGCTGAGGCAGGAAGATTATAAATTTGAACTTGACCTGGACAGTTTAGTGGCTGAGCAAGATTTCATCTCAAAATTAAAAACATAAAAAGGCCTGGCTACTTAGCTCAGTCATGTACACTGAAGAAAAAGAAACATAACAGCAGGGGGGGACAGTGAAGGTCATCTGTGAGGGTAGGCATGCCCTGTCTCACAGGGGAAACAGAGGCCCTTCCTCCTTTCCTTTCCTCACCCCATGCAGTATGTGAAAATCCACAGCAGGGGCCCTCACCTTTGTGGGGAGACTCCCTTCTCAGGCCTTGATGTGGTTTATCTCATTTAAATCTCCTCACACCTCTGGAAGGTGGAACAAATGCTGTCCTCATTAGAGAGCTGAGGAAATCAAGGTCCCAAAGCTAGATGGGTGAAGGGGGAGTTAGCCTGCCAGCTGGTCCTGAACTCTAGCTCTGAGGCAGTACGCCACCTCTGGGAGCTGGCAGGGGATGGAAGCGGTGGCAGTGACTACCGCAAGATCTTGGGGCCCCCACAGATGTATGAGGGGCTTGGTAAGGCCATTGGCTACCTGACTCGTAGTTGCCAGTGAAAAGTGAAAATGTGGCATTCCTGGTTTCAAGAATTACTTAGAAGTTAAAGTGGGTGAAAGCAGAGCATTAAACTGAATGTGGGTCACTCATGTCCCCCAGGACGTGTGTGCCAGCTTCCCATACTGCCCTGGACCAGCTAGGTGAGGGTGACAGGGGTCCAGAAAGAGATGAGAAAGGACCCCAACACCTTGCTCCTTCTCCTTTCCCCCTGACAACTGGCATGAGATGCTGCTGCTATAAAGCACTTTTTCCCCTAGGGTTTTATGCCTTTTAAGGAGAGAAAAACTACTTCTGCACAAACACTGAGCCCTACAAGGAAGGTTCCGTGTTCCATGATGACGGCGGAGACCTTCATGAAGCGTCAAATGTCAACAGCTTCACCAGGTTCTGCAAATAAGAGTTCTGTGGGTAATTACATTTTTAATAAAACGCAGTTTGCAGATTGATAGTCAAATGGATTTCCTGTTCTGGGAGCCTGGCCTTTCTTCCTGGATCTGCCACTGTACCTTTCTCATGCTGTTCTTTGTTGAAAATCCTTCATAATGAGGGGAGAGTTGCTCCCGGACTCAAACTTCCTGCTAGTTTCAGTTCCTGCTTGAGTATTGGGTGAAAGAGCCAAATGTTACGGAATGCCCAGTTGTTGCTCATTCTTACAATGTGCCTATTTAATGAAATGAAATAGTGATGAATAATTGTTGGGCTTTCTTGGTACTGCAAGCTACACTGATAGATAATCATTTGCATGGAAGGCTTAAATGGAATTTTCTCAGAAAATGCATATGCATGTTATTTTATTAAGCAACTTTGGTACATGACAGTCTAGATTTATAAAATATATTTCAGGAATTATTTACCTTTTAAGAAGACTTTTTATCTAACATTTGATTTTTCATTTTATTTTTATTTT